ATTGTATGGAAAGTGTATGAATAGCATTTTTCCAAATCTGAAAATTGTCTGACTAGCCATTTTTGGGTCAAACCGGACTATCAGCCATTGCTTATGAATGATAAAACAAGTACATATCAACTCATACCATCACTTACAAAACATCCACAATAACTACAAAAAATACTTTAATTTCAACGCTAGGCATATAATAATCCGGAAAAATGGCTGTATTAGTTTCCAAATAGCGTATGACAATTTTCACTCAAGTTTACCAATTTATTTTGTTATTGCAAATCATTTCTGTGCCCGTTTTTGTTCTATATTTTGGATAGCGCGGGTCTGTCTGTTTAGGCGAGATAAGCTCTGATTCTGAAACAAGCCACGTGCGGCCACAGTCAAGGCATCCAGCGACAGTCTAGAAGTGGTCAAGATTAGCAAGGAGAGATTCGAGAGAGTGCTGGGACCCTGTCAAGACATCCTGAAGCGCAACCTAGAGAATTACAACTCAATAGTCGCCCTCAAGTAACAACCACACCCTCCCGAAAACCCCAAATACCAACCAGCTCCCACCAGCCCATAGAAAACTTACGAGAACCCCCCCCCCCCCCCCCAACAAACAAAACCATTAACAATAGCGATTAACAAACTCCCCACCGTCTTTCTACTCTTCTGGCTCTATCTCTGCTTTCTTTTGTTCTTCTATCCGTGAAAAAGGACGGTTAATTAGATGTCAATCTACTCTTTTTTAACCTTTGCCCGCGCCGTAGTCGTTTTAGGAGACAGTAAGACTTCAGGAAAATCAACTTTCAAAATCAAAATCTTGACGATTCTTATCTGTTTTTCTACGTAATTTTGGAGTTCGAAAGCGGGTCAGCAGGCAGGGGAAAAAAGTAGTTCATTGCAACAACTGTTCTTTGCTTTTTATTGTACCAAAAAGTTGCAAATAGCAGAAAATTGGAATCTCGCTGAAAAGGTCGAGGAAGTATAGCAAAAAAGGTCAAACAAATCTCAAGGGAATTTTCGATAAAAAGAACACATACAACAACAAACTACCATTGAATCTGATATTACAGCTCGACATGAATCAAATAAAGCTTTACTAAGCGCACATTGCTATTGCTGAATGATTGCTTGGTAATCTAGCCTAAATTATATACCTCACCTTTATCGTCAAACTTTTTGACAATAGTTATAGTTAAAAAATCTGTTAATAAAAGGATGCATTACTCAGGTTATTAAAATGTTAGTTAACTGGTGTTATTATCAAACGATGGAACAACTTAATTTAGTATAAACAAGGTTGGGTTGGATTTTGTTCTGATTTCAGATTGAAACAGAAACATGAATTATTTTATTATGCTCACAAAGCGTGACGCCGCCACCACCACAAAATAAATGATTTTTTTTTCCTTTGCAAAAGAAAGGGAAATGCTATTGAAATAACTCGTATAAACGTTTTTAAGCATTGTGAATTAAAAGGAATGTTCTCGTTCAATGCGAATAATAACAATTCCTCTCGTAAAATACGAGCATACGAAAGATTCTTTTCGAAAAAATCGAATGCACAAACAAGATTCACGAGAGAATACGAAGTTAAAAAGTAACTTCTCATATGATACGACAAATTGAGAGATTTCCCATTTGAGTATAAACAGAAGCTAAAAACTACTGGAATTCATTCCAACAAATCATCACAAAATACCAACACCACTCTCTTTAACCACCCCAGCCCTTCTCTATAAAATATCCATTCTCAGTAAAAATATCCTTAATCTCATCCATAAAACAATTTTTGTGTCAAAACGTAGCTTGCAGTAAGTTCATACTAACTTCTTTTCTATTAAAATATTTCTCAGCGAGTTTAAGGTTTACTTTCTAAGATAGAAGGTAGAAAGGACCCTATAATACTAGCAAGCGTTTTGTCCGGCGTAAATAGTATTGCTAGCGTAAAAAATTGTGCGACCAGTGAGGCTCACCTTCTAAAAGTTCGCTAAAAATGCTAAGATCTCAAAAAGAGAGAAAAAGCAATGAACCCAACTCTCAAACTGGATAATTGTTGAAGTTTCTCTTACAAATGAAGAGAAGTAGTAAATCTCCAAATCGGAAATTTAAATTGTCAAAATCAATGTACAAACTTTTCTATCTTTCTTCTTTTTATATCTAAGCTTTAAGCTCAATCGAATATGGCTGATACCCCGATATCCTATCCCAACTTGTCATAAATGACATTTTCAGGAAGCGAACCTTTACTAAGCGTTCATTGCTGGTTGATTGCTTAGTAATTTTATCCTAAATTATAAGTCTTACCTTAGATCGTCAAGTTGTCCTGACAAAAGTTAGAGTAGAAACAATACGTAGAAAAGGTTTAAGATAATTAGCTGGTTAAATACAAAGCACAGGGTTATTAGATTGTATAAACGAATCGAACAGCTTAAAGAAATTTTTCTATGAGGGGATGTTGATTTAATCTTAATTTGTTCATCAATATTTTATCTTTTTACTAAGGTCGATGATTGCTTAGTATTCTTGGTTGGACCTTGATTGTGTCCACTTCTGCACTTCTAGTTAGTCGTCTGTATTGTGCTTGCTATAGTCCTTTTAGTCCTTAGGGTCCGGGTTTCCTCAGTTATGCGTATCTCGATTTATAAGTTTATCGAATTTTAAACGAGAATTTTTTCTCTATTTTATTTGGAAAAAAGGCTAGTTTTATGTTATTGTTAAAGTGGAAAAGAAAAGTTATTTGTTTTGAAAAAGAAGCTGTTAAGAGATCTGACTTGCTGCTGACTGAGCAAATTGAAATACTGAAGATTTCAGGCCAGTCTTTTTGCTCGTAAGCATAAACCGGCGGCTGATTCAATCTATAATAATTCAGGTTTCACCAGCTCCTTTATTCTCCCTTTCTCATAAGGGAAATTTCAACTAATTTTTATTTAATTCTTTCAAATCAAATATCTTTAAATTATTAGTGAAGTTTTTGCGATAATCGTACATCACTGTAAGACGAGACGATCAAAAAACTCCTGTTTATCAGTTGTAACACTCTGTAATTGGCTTCTTTTAAATTGAAAATCGGCTTAATGAATGAAGTTTTTGGCAACTTTTAACTAACTATTTTCAGGATTTAATAGCAACTTTTTAGTTACTTTTTTGTGTAATCGTTAGCAACTATTTTCCCAGCCCTGATTATTAATCTTCTTTGATTAAAACCGCAGCCTTCAGTTTTGTTTGATTAAAAATGCATTTTACTCTCTCTGATGCATCATATTGCAGGTGCATCTCTGCTTAATCAAAGTAAGGAGAAATTCAGCGCAGCTGGCAAGACTGCTAAAAATTTATCCAATTTGTTTCACGTTAAAGTTAAAAGGTACGTGTTAATAATCGCAGCCCTTTCAAAATACTGCGCATGAAAAAATGAGAAATATTGGACAAGTTTTTAAAAAGTCATGGATTTTTAAACAGTATTTTTATAGTCCCTATAAGAATAGTGAAAAGATTTAGTGAAAAGAGGCTTTAATTTAAGTGGCACGCTCCAATTTAGAATTGTGTTGTTAAATAAACAATTAAGACAATGGTATTTTGTTCAAGTAGTATTTCCAATACTACAACTCACCCTTTTGTTCAAAAAAATGAAGTTGTTTGATTCTTACAGTTATTATACTGAAAATTTAAACACTTCAATGATTAAATACTTTAGTTATAACATTAAAAAGAACATCAAATGAAATAGTTATATAGATAAATTAAGTTAATGGACTCAAATTTAAATATGTTTTTTGTTCTCTAGAGTTCTAAATTTCGTCTAGAGCTTCCTTCCTGCTTCTAGCTCCACATTGTACGCTCTGAGGATCGATTTCTTCCTCTGTGAAGCCTCAAGTTTTTGTTGTAACTCGACGATTTTCTTTTTCTTGATTGTATTCCTAATTCGCAGCCTGCTCACCCGTCTGTAGGCTCTTTAATATCGACTTGCTCTTTCTGCTTGGGTCTTACATAGTTTGGGAAGGCAGTTATTCCCTCAAATGGGATGGTAACTTGGTTCCCCCTGCTTTCATGATGTAGCCTTGCTCTTCTCTTTTCGTCAGTTTCCAGAAGTTGGCTTCCTCCTTTGTCACCACTTCTTGTTGAGCTATGAGCTCGACAAGCATCATCGCCTCTTCCATTGTTGTCGAGTTGACGACTTCAAAAAAGGATGGCAGTTTCCATCTGTTGTAGTTTTGTTTTATTGAATACTTCAAACTCGTTATAAATCTAGGGTTTTCAGTATGCAGTTTTACTTCTCTGTTCTTCTGCAGTTCCAATCTTTGATTTAGACTGGGGAAATTCTTAGGGTTCTTGCTTAACCCGTCGTCAATTGACAAGGATTGTACTACAGATTTCAGTTGCTTCTTTCTGAGAGGCAATTTTCTTTTGAACTCCTCGGGTGCTGGGTCAGCATTTCGGCAGTTCCAATTCAAAATTGAGTCATATTCTTTTTTGCTAAACATCAATATGAAATATGAAAATATTCAAAATCCCAAATTACATTCGGATACTAAGGCTGATTATCAAATTTGAACAATGAAGGACATTTGCAAAAGTGTAAAATTTTATATATAGAAGGTGGAAAATTAATCTTGTGGTTTCACACAAACCCACCACGGGAAACAATTGAAAAAAGACGATCATGGTGTTTAATAACCACAGTAATAAAGCATTTTACAACACTGAGTTAAGCTCAGATATTACACTTATGTAGTTAAAGCAAAAATGGAAATTTGGGCATTAATTAACCCCTAATCTTAAGTGTATGTCCACTTGGGGTCATCCACAGGATTACCATGGGGTCCCCTTTTATAGGTAAAAGGGACTAGAGAAAACCGGGGGGGGGGGGTAAATAGTATAAAATATAGCATGTTTAAAAAGAGATTTTGGTGTTTATTGTTATTTAAGAAGATATATAAAATTGTGAACGGATTACTGAAGTCTTGAGGCTTTACCAAATGTAGGAGTGTAGAGGAATCGTATATGGACATCGTTTTAGTGTGGAGAATTAATTCCAGGGGTCGGAAAAGTCTTAAGGGATGTGTCATAAGGGACAAAATTTTGCACTACTAGGGAGGCATCTTGTACAAATAGTGATACCTTGATGGCAATTGGTAAGATGTTGATAGCTTGCCATACTGTGGGTCTGGCTATTTCCCCAGTTTGCGCTTTTAACCATACTTTCGCATAGACCACACGGGGAATAATGGAAAAGTGATCGGGTTTAATTTGGGACTTGGCAAATGGGGCATAAAATTTGTCCATATTTTGATAAATGAGCTACAATTTGCTCAAGACATTCTATGCAGATGAAGTGTGGCGGATGGTGTGACTGGTTGTTGTGTTGTTTCTTGAATTTGGACTACTGTAAATAGCCATACGGGCATTCAAGAATGGTTTTTGTAATTGTTTTTTCGAAAGTACTGTAAAATGGGCTGGGAAACATAAAGAAAATTTTGGAAATAAAATTAAAAAGCTTGGACAATTTTATAAACAAACACTGCTAAAATTATCTGAATCATTTTTTTTGAGGAAAAATTAAAGCATAAGTCGATTAGAGGTTCGAAAATTGATGTTGATAAC